AATACCATTTTATTCGTTTATTGTATACCTAAAATTTCGTTTCCATATCTTTATTTATTCAGAAGACATTTAGAGATGTATTTTTTAATTTTAACTCTTTGTAACTTGAAAACGATTGGCGTTTTGGAATAAGTTTATATAGCAAACAGTTATACAGGATGTTATTGAACATATGTCAAAAATTTAAAGGGGTGAATAAGGGGCAAAACTGAGTTAATTGATGTCACTAACTTGTATCGGAAGTTTAAGGTCATGGAGAAAAAGCTAATTAAAAATGTGTCTAAAATTGTTTTGGAACTGCTGAAATACATGTATTTTATGGCGGCGAGTACTTCCAAAAAATTATGTAACACTTTTTACGAGTTTGTAGGTTTCTTATGAAGCCGGACTGGATTCGAAGGTCAGTTTGTAATACATTGTTGTAATGATTGCTGTGCTGTTTTTCGAGATTACATTTAATAACCGTATTTCCAAGCTTTCTTTTGAAAATGGCACATTTATTTAGCAATCGCGAATATTATGATATGCTCATAATTTAGGGCGAAACAAACGAAAATGCCCACAGGGCTTGTCAAGTGTACCGTGCAAGATATCCTGAGCGACGTGCCCCCGCACCGCGATCATTTGTTGCTGTAGCGCAAAGAGTTTTGGACACCGGTGACGTACAACCGCGTCGAAGTCGTAAAGGTGATACAGGGTGACCACTAATAATCTTAAATGTTGAGGAGATGATTTTATCTCGTCGAAGAAGATCCGCATCGTAGCACCAGAAATATCGCACAGCAAGTAAATATTTCGCATCCTGTTGTGTGGCGGACATTACGAGAAGCTCAGTTGTACCCATTTCATATTCAACGTGTTTCAGCGCTTGCTCCTGTGAATTTTCCCCTACGTCGAGGTTTTTCCGAATGGTTGCTTCAGGAATATGCAAGAAATTACAGTTCAAATACTTGTTAGAGATGAAGCATGTTACAGTCGAAATGATGTACGTAACGTCCACAACACTCACCACTAGACTATCAAAAATCCACACAAAATACGTCGCGGTGCTTTTCAGCAACAGTTTTCAGTGAACATGTGGACCGGTATCATTAATGACACTTTAATAGGACCTTTCGAATTGCCTAGACGCTTAGACGGCGCTTCGTATCTAGATTTTTTGCAAAATCGTTTGCCGGAGCAATTGGAAGACGTGTCATTAAATGTTCGGCAAAATATACGGTTACTGCATGACAGAGCCCCTGCTCACTTTTTCCGGAGAGTGCGCAACTTTCTAAACATTACTTTTCCCGATCGCTGGATAGGTCGCGGCAGCCTAGTTAGATGGCCCCCCGGTCCCCAAACCTCATGCACTCCTTTAGACTTCTTTTTGTGGGGATATTGAAAAGTGTTGTGTATTCCACAGAAGTTCGTGACATCAACGAACTGCGAGATCGTATTGCCGAAGCTTGTAATACGATTCGAGAGGAAGCGGCAATGTTGCAATACGTGTGAGCGAATTGGATACGTCTCGCTGAAGCTTGTATACAAGCAAACGGTGGGTACTTCGAACATCTTCTATGAAAATCAGCAGTTCTCAAACAGTGGCTCCTTGCAGTGTTGAGGTAAGTCATATTTTAAAATTACATTTACTCAACACAAATCCGTATATTTACCTCATATTGACATAACGGACATGTGGCAAAAATAATTAACATAACTTCATTAACACTGTATAATTTTTCCAAAGCAGCTTGAAATGTTATTGCAATATTATGGATATCTACTTATTTACAAATAACATTCTATATTCTAGATAAAAAATAACTGCTGACGCGCAATAAATCGAAATTTGATTAGATTAACTTTAATTTAATTTAACTAAGTTTTCTCATCATGAATATCGTTTGTTTTTTACACAGATTTATACTAAAAATATAAAAATTAAGCTCTCTTTAACACTTCAAAGTTGTCTCATCTCAACCTATTTATTAATATACATACCTACCTACCTACCCTGTGTACCATTTAAAAATACTAAGCTCCTTAAAACTTAATACGTAATATCCTTAGACAAAAAATAATTTTAACTTTCTTTAATAACGAACCTAATCTTCTGTACCTCCTACCGATAAGGGGGTGTTCTGTTAGTGAAACTGATAATGACAAACTAATCTCAACAATGTCTAATTGAAGTTACTTGGTACAAACTGCAAGGCAAATAGGAAGTGATATCCAAAATTTAAGTAAGTATTAAAATATATGCCTTTGTCGGATTTCTGGATTATCCTTTTTGCCTTTAATAATATTTTTCCTTCCATTGAACTTTATTCATAAAATCTATTTATTTAAAAAGCACATTATTTTACTGTATTACAATACTTACCCAACCTAGCATTGAATTATATCAGCAAAAGCTAGTAATTGACTATTATCCAAAATAAAAATTAAAAGTGATATGTCTAAATATTATTAATATAAAAAACACGTATCTGACATTGAAGTTGTTGAATAATGTAATCTTTCAAAAAAATATATTGTATTGTTGTTGTTGACAGAAACCAACACCTAAAAGTAGTCACTAATAAAGATCTTATTGCTATTTCGACACATTTCTTTAGGATTGTTTCTTCAGGTGACCTCCTTGTCAATGAAATAAATAATAATAGATATGTATTTATACAATCACAAAACTTCGAAAAAATTTCATTCGGAAAAGACTACCAAAAGTGTTGACAATATGATTAGAAACATTCGAATTGTTTTTATATTTGCCCTTTTTGCTAAATTTATCTTTTAAAAATATGTATTTTATTATTAGCTCTCGTAATTTTACTATATTAAGAATAAATAAATGTTTTTTGATTAAACTGAGAGATATATTTTATTTTCTTGGAAACAGAACAAGGAGTTACAGGGAGTGACCGAATTATATCTAGTGGCGTTGAATTTCTGAGATTTTCAGTATCTCCGCCACTGACTGGTGCAGGTATTTATTTCTGAATTAAACGGATTACTACTTTTAAGTAGATGTATCATTAGCCTAAGTTTCAACATTCTGCATCAAACGTTTTCAAAGGTATTTTAGAAAAGGCGAAGATTATTTCAAATTTCAATACCTCAACTCTGAAAACTATTTACTTGTATTTATAGGTATAATTTTTTCAACTTAAAGAATCTCTTCTTAGAGCTTGTCGACGTACTTAATTAGCACCCTGTATATCCACTGTGTTAGTCTTCCTCTAGGAGAAGTATTCTCAACTATAAACACTTCCTAGAATATATCTTCACTCGTAGTAACTGCTACAGAGTGATGCAGCTATTTGCCAAGAGGTGGCTTCAAATCTTACTGTATTGATTTTCTTTCACAGATGTTATTTATGTGTTATAGTGCTCAATGCCGTATTAATTTTTGTTTGAAAAAAAATAATAATAAAAGATCAGAAAGGTAATCTTTAGACTTAATCAAAGTACATTTTGACGAAAAAATTGAATACCTAATATCAGCGCCATCTATAAGACAGTTCGATTAATTAGTTAGAAATGTGACATCTAGTGGTATTCTTAAGACAACATTTCTATTCTGAACTGTTATATTATCGGGTTGAAAACTAACTTCTTTGTATAATAATATTGACTAAATGAAACATTAAAATTTGAAAATTAGGAGGCTTACATACATACATATTAGTTTTTTAAGATTAAATTAAGATTAAAATCATTTCCCAACAGTGAATTTATTCCTTATACAGGGTGTTCCACCTGGAAAATATCGGATTTAAAAAAACTAAAAAACTAAAAAAACCTGACACGTCGATTTTCTTTTCAAGGATGGCGTAAGTTTTGGTATCTTAGACAGGAACGTAAATTACCCTTAAACTTTAAATGAGTGACACCTCATTTTATCTAAGATGTTATATTTTTAACTACAATTATCAATAGGTATTCTCCATCGTTATTTATGGCCTTCTCCCAACGTTTACAAGTTTCTCGATGCCTCTTCTGTAAAAATCATCCGGTTTTGACTCGAAAAACACCAATCGTATAACATTGTCTTTCGAGGATGAGATTCTGGTCTTGGTTTTTGGGCTGAACTATTATTTCCGCTATTTCAAGTTCACGTACAGAGACCGAGTGAAACTCTTGCATCAGAAATAAGTGAGTTTTACTCGAGTTACTGCTAACTATCAATTAAGTGACTTTTGACTCTATTCTGAGTATATAAAACCAATTTAGAGTTAACTTTTTCTCTAATATGATTTAAATTTAACTATTATTGAGTTATTTTTTACTCAGGCTTGGTTTTAATTAACTAAATATTGAGTGCAAAAATAAATCACTCATAAATGATTAATTAGGATATACAGTGTTGAAATTAATTAGACGCTATACAAATGATGAACTTTGAAATTAGGAGAGATATTGTAAAAATAATATCTCAATTTTTTTTTGATAGTACGTGTATAATAACCCTTGAAATTAACAGATGAAAATCGTTATTTTGTAATAACTTTTTGTAATTTATAAAATTTGTATAATTTTTGGGTAAAAGCCATGTTATTTGAAATTAGGTATACTAATGTGTGCAATTTACTTAATAAATGCTTCCATATTACTGACGTTTGGAATGGTTTTGCACCACTTTATATTTTCTTGAAATTTTAATTTAAATACCATTGTCATAAACTACTAAACAGTCATGGAGGTTTCAACACAGATTTCTTTTAGAGACAATAATTTAGGTCTCGATTGGTTCACTGATCGGATAAATAAATTGCCATAACCTATATTGTGCGTTACAAATACGTAATTATAGATAACAATTTTCTGCCAAAATAAAAAAAATATTTAATTAATAGACTTATTGTAATCACCAATCCATTTAAATGTATCTCTTTAAGCTAACCAATGAAATATAAAAATATATTTGAAAAAGCTAAAATGTTTATTAGTTTGTAATACAAAGTATTTTTTACTTAATATACACAAATAATAATACATACTTATATTTCTGAAACTACACTTTTTGCTTTAAACAACTTTTGTAGTTCAAAAGGTAACATACGAACTGATATACTAAAGTTCACTGAAGGATCATAAATACTTATTTATTATATACATTTTCTTATCTTACTTCATCACGTTATCAAAAATAATAACATTATTATTTAAATAAGTTGACTTAAATTATTGGCAAATACAGTTTTTAGTGTTTCAAATTTTATGCTCTATAGTCTTCGTAAAGGTCATTTCCTCCTGGTGGAGGCCTGCTGCGCCTTTCTTGGTAAACATCTACTGGTTCCCTGTAAGTGGTTCGACCTCTGGGTCTGTATTGTGGAGCCGGTTCCACATACTGTTCTTCAGGTTGTTCCCTGTCAAATAAAAAACTTATCAATTATTTATTAATCATTAAAAGATTTATATATACATTTTTACTTTTTTTAAACAAAACATGTTGAAATAGTTTTACCCTCCACTAATTTTATGACAGCCATTAAACTGATATACGTCAAACCATAAATATTGCAGGCAAAGATTCGAATTCTTTTCGCATCAATATTAGAAGCTTACTTATATTTAACAAATGTTAACACGTAAAATATAAAAAACAATGGCGTAACTAGCCTCCCCCGTCAAAAACTTGAAATCCTTTTATGCTAAGGAACGTATCTATTGAAATTTTCAACTTTATTGATTTGGAGATATTGACAGAATTAGATTTTTTTTAATTTGTTTCCATAAATTAAGAGTAGATTAACAACATTTGATAAAAATTGGCCCAATCACTATAATTTGACCACAAGAAACTTTCATTAAGCTGTAGACCATTCTTAATAAAACTTTTTTTATCTTTTAATTGTGTCCATTTTGATTTTAATGTATCATCCAGATGAAATAATATTATCTTTGCTTATCACTGAGTTGTGTAAAACTAAAAATGATGTTAGTATTACATTACTGTTATTATTTTTAATTTCAACATTAATTTGAATTATGCTTGTATGTAAGAGTTAGAAAGAAAATTTCTATTTCGTTGATTCTAATTAAGTAAACTGAGAATCTCAAGAAAAACTGTTTTTATTTCACGTATAATACCTGTACTGTCCATCGTCTTCATAATCTGGTTCCTGATATCTCGCTTTAGGCGCTGGTACACCAGCTCTAGCCGGAGCGGCAGCTGGTTTGTGGTAGTTTAATCCTGGAGTAAACCTGGATCCAGCATTGTAATTGTAGTTCACTCTCAATCCCGTTGGATCTGTGTAAGAGAATGTGCCATGGATAACTCCACTTGGATCGCCCCTCGCCGAACTCACAATGCCGTCTTCTGTTTTGTAAAGGTATCCAAAGTGACCTGTTGAGAATATATCGCGTTTAATAGAGCATTACAATTTTTAACAATAATATGTGTTTTTAAGTCGTTTAACAGTTAAACGCACAAAAACGTAGCCTGTTCCTCAGATGAGACCAAACCACCCATGCATTTTGACTACCAGAAATCAATTCTGCCATGGAATGCTCCATCGCCCTCCAGTTTTCTTCTACTTTACAGTTAACGAATTTGTCTTTGAATAATGCCCTGCAAAGGGGTATGTTTGCAATCATAGTATATCTGAAATCTCTGAAGGTAGTTCTTAGTGAATCGATAACAAGGGCTCAGTTATGGAACTATACCAAAGATTGCAATAAATCAATACAACGGTTTTTTTGTTATTCTTTTTCTCCTTTTGTCGTTGTCTTTTATTTTCGACCAATCTGTGTGGAGGATTTATAACATATTTAAAGTAGCTACGACAGTTTTATGAGTTATGTTGTGATTTATGTACCCGGGCAACGCCAGTGGTTATATATATGGCATGGCATAACTACCCAAAAAAACATCGGACTTCAAACATCAGGGGGACGTGAAAGCCTTAAACTATATATTTTCATGTTATCTATTTGATATACAACTCAAAGCCTCTATCAAGATAGTCTACCATCATGGAAACGATACAAAATAAAAAACAATCACTAAAAATGACTGTATTAATTTATTACAGCCTTTAGGAATATTTTTACAGCTGAGTCGACTTTTTCGACTCAGGTATACCAAGATTGCAGATAGACTCTTTTGCAGAGCTGCATCCAAAGAAAAACTCACTAAATGTAAAGTTGTAGCGGATTTTTAGGGTTTGGTAAGTAGAAATTCTTTTGTGTGAATTGTCTTCGTGCTTGATATAAAAAATCGAAGGGTAACATAGGTCTCATAAGTGGAATACACAACTTTTTGCAAGCCTATGTAATTGTCCAAATTTTTGTATGTGTAAGATCAACAATGTCAATCGGAGTAGGTGTGCTTGATAGATGAATGAATTAACAAAGCATAAAATAAACTATGACGAAATTATAACACTGTCAAGACCTTAGAGCATATACTACTGGAGGCAGCGTTTCAGTGACCGAGTGTGTAGCGGAAGTTTAGAGAGAGAGAGAGAAAGAGTTATAGGAGGGTATATGCTATCTCTCTCTAGCAGCACGCGATTGCATTGGCCGAGAGTTTAGGGGAGGTTTAGATAGAGAGTGAGGTATATGAGGGTATATGCTAGCTCTCTCTAGCAGCACGCGATTGCATGTTGCTAGAGAGAGATAGCATATACACTCCTATACCTCTCTCTCTCTCTCTCTCTCTCTCTCTCTCTCTCTCTCTCTCTCTCTCTATAAACCACCGCTATACTCTCAGTCACTGACTGGGACGCTGCCTCTAGTAGTATATGCTCTAAGATCAAGATTAACTAGTTAATTCCAATTTAAGACAAGCGTCCGCCATCTGGCGGAAATAGTTTGTACTTATCGAAAGTAGATACAATGTAAACAAACCCTCATTATAACTACAGTAAGGAAAATGAAGGTAAGTAATTCAAATATGTTTATAAGAGATACGCCTTAAGATATTCATTTTCATTTTTCATGGAACGAATACAACGAATGAATACAAACCAAGAAGAAGAGACAGAAAATTTTTACTTGGGAACGGTATATGCAAATTTGTAACAGACGATTTTATCGTTAGATAGCTTTTTTGTTAGACGACTTTTTTAATGTAGGTAGCTAGGACAGACTGGCATTATAATATTATTAAATTAGGTTATATTATTAAATGAGACCGGCATAATTTTAAAACAATATTTTTACTAAGAACACTAATACCTACTAAAGAAACACAATAGTGGAAAAATGTAATATTTTAAATTTAGAAAAAAATAAAAACTCTCACTTTTTTTATCTTTTCTGGCCAAGAAATTATGATATAATATATCTTATAACCCATATAATAAAATATGAAAATCTAGAGATATTTTTAATACAAAAAAGCAAAAGCTACGAAGGATCTACCGCTACTACATTTGTACATTTTTGTTCGTGTGAAATGTTGGTTTTTAATTAATCCAAAGTTTATATTATTTTTGAAAGATTTCCTGAACTATACCCACAATAAAATACAATTTAGTGTAATACACTGCAATAAATAATCATTAGACATAATAAGGACATAAATATATCCGAATTTTTTAACTGAAAGAATTATGGCAAAATCTTATTGGTCTACCTGTTGTAAAACAATTTCTATTCACTTTCGTAACCACGCAACTGGGTGGTATATTAATCATTCGATGGAAATTAATAGTGCGTTAAGTTGTAAAATAGGAGACCTATCTGGAATTTGACCTGGAATAAATGTATATTCAAGGAACTTTAGATGTGACGGATTTGGGATACGTATGTAAGCTTAGAATGTGTTTCACAAGATGGATTTTTGCTATTTTTTATATCAGATAATATAGGAACTTACAAATTAAGTTGGATAATTAATTTTTATCGTAATATAGGTAATCGAAAATTTTAAAAATCTGCAGAACCACAGACTACAATTCTGCGAAGATGTAATTCAAAGCACAGCTTTTTTAACAAAACCATTCATCGATCATTATATGCATTTTAAATTCGAAAGGTCTCTCTATCTATATTTAAAATTTGAACAAAAATTAACCATTGAATTAGAAGAGTTGTTAGTAGTTTCAACTATGAATATTGAGAAAATTACATATTTGGATAGATGATTTCCAATCAAAACTTTGATTGAAACATTATTTGACGTTGAAAAGAATCTTTTGCAATTTAAACAGACCATTTCCAATCACAATTTTTACCTCCTGTTACCAATTTTCGTAGAAACAAATACAATACTTCAACAAATCAAGAGGTACCAAATTTTTATTTGAGAACGGTATATACGGACTTCGCACTTTTCTTATGAAGAAGTGGTTTCAGTTAAATTGGCTAAAATGTTCATATGTTACAGCTCTTAACCTCCATTGGCCCAATATCCAAAAGTGCATAGTTTTCGAGTTACGTTGACTTTTGAGTAATAACTCTGTTTTAAAAATGTTATTTGATATTTTTGCCGTTTGCATTTACATTGCCCAAGGTGCACCACGTGGAGGTTGCAAAATCGGTCCAACACCTCTTTGAGGTGGATTTTTTACTGTGAGTTCCCCTTGCCTCTCATCATTGGGGTGTCTTTTTGCCGTGAGTTCCCCTTGCCTCTCACTAATCTTCTACTACGTCTAAATATATGCATTTTATTTTCATGGGTCCAATATATCATCTGTTTCTGTTATATTATTATATCTGTTGAGGCTACTATTAATATAGTTTAATAATGCGTCACTCGGGTAATGTACATTTTGTTGATATCACGCAAAACCCAAATACCACAACACGCTGGCTACGTGAACACAACAACATTGTTCTTGCACCACTCCTACAAGTACAATAATGGCCGAGAATGGGCTCTTCGTTTTCATCTGGTTCAGTCACATAAAATACCCACAGCTGATGTTTCACTGCATTAAGGAAACGTGAGTAAATTCCGATCTGTAGAAAACCTGGTTCTAGAACGTGTTCATCCAATTGGAATACTTCTGTTCCTTCTATATCAAGTTTATCTTGACTGTAAGATGGAGCTAAACCAACCTGGTAAACATCAATGGTTATCCTATGTAAATAATCGATGTTAAATCTAGGAAATTCTCTAGCATGGTTTTCATTAAGTTGGTTCTAAAGAGATTTTCGGCTTCAACTTGAGTTTGAACTATGTTCACGTCATTAATTCTTTGACGCAATTCTCTTGCTATTGAAACAGTAGCATCCTGCATTATTATTAACTATTCATAAAATCTGTTGACAATGACCAAATCAAGATTCAGGACTAAACTCAACCACCCCAAAGAGGTGTTGAACCGATTTTGCAACCTCCTTGTGGTACACCTTAGGTAATGCAATTGCAAACGGTAAAAAATATCAAATACTATTTTTACCCATTCGAATACAGTGTTATTGCTCTGAAGTCAACGTAACTCGAAAACTATGAACTTTTAGATGTTGCACCAATGGAGACTTTTGATCGGCAGGTTAAGAACTGTAGCATATAAAAGTTTCAGCAAATTTAACTGAAACCTCTTTTTCATAAGAAAAGTGTGGGGTCCGTATAAAATGATTTTATTAACGTTAGATAAATTTTTTGGTAGTTGAAATCATTCAAACCTCTCCTTATTTTGACTCTTATGTTACTTTTGTCCAACTATCAAATGTAGTAACTACGACAGATATTGTCTGAAGTTATTTATCTGTGTCATAGTTTTCGTTTTTTTTTTTACAAAATACAAAAACACATCACTATATATAGCGCACTTTAGAAAGTTGTTAACGTTTCCTTTTAGTTGCCATCAAAGTAAGTAAAACGAAAAGTAATCTATCATTACATATTAATCCAAAATCTTCCGTTATTTCGATACAAATGTAAAAATTGTAAGAACTTTTTAAAAATCGTAAGTTGCAACAACAGTTGATTATCAAATTGGGATAGTGACAAAGCACATAGTTTTTTAAATAGAACATTGAATATTTTTGTATGTTTAAATAGACCGGCTTCTTAGAATTACAATGATATTAAAATTTAATATACTTTATAATAAATGAGATATAGCCAAAAGAGTGTCTTGCAAAATGTTGCTGAAAACCACACCATTGATATGTCAGTTCATTGTCAACAACATATCAAAATCAGGCACGATAAACGTAAGAGATTTATTACCATCTGGAGTGGGTTCGTTTCGGGTGTCTTGAAGAATCGACGCATATTGATTGTGTCGGGACTGAGTCCAAACCAGTTGGATGCATAAGACTGCCCATACGATGGCCTGAAAAAAAAATAGTAATGTTATTATAATGAAACGTACTCAAGAATTACGTGCAAGGTCGTGATTGCAAAATAGGCAATGTCGATTTATTTATACTTGCAAATTGACTCTTGCTACGACTTACTACAGTTAGTTTTTATTGTGGTTGAAAATGGGTTGCGCTGTTATTACAAATTCAAATGCAACTGTTGAATTTGTAATGACATGGTAATGTTATGCAGAAAATTTGTAAATCGCCTATTACCATAGGTTAGTATTCGGTAATGTCCCGCCTAGGAAGTAGGTAATGAAGTTGGAACTATTGTTAGACCCTTGAATACATATTTCGAGGTTAATGAAAATTTTAAGCTTTATTTACATAATTTAGGAAATTTACAGATGATAATGGAGGAAAGGTCATTGTAAATGTAATAAAAAAAAGTGAAAAGAATATTTTTACTTTGTGCTAAATACAAATGCTGGATTCAATAACCAATTTTTACAATACAGTCATTTTAGTGTAAATATGCAGTCTGTTCAGAAAATAACCAAACTTTATTTTTTTAATTTTATACATTCGTCTTTGTTTCCTTCATATTTTCTACACACTTTTCCCAGCGGTGTTTCAATTCTGCTTTGATGTCATCAATAGTCTGAAAACGGCGTCCTTTCAGCACTAATTATAATTTTGGAAATAAGAAAAAATCGCAAAGAGCCATATGGCAAGCAAGCTAAAATGCCTTGATATTACACATCATTGTCTCCTGAATGTGGGAGTCATCAGTTGAAGTTGAAACCCTTCCTGGATAATTTTCAGTTGACTGACGACCACTCTCAATCATCATAAAAAATCATCAAAACATATCAAATCATAAAAACCATTGGTAACATTGCATACGACCCAGAGCATCATCTCCGTAAGGTTATTTCAAAAGTTGGAAAGTTTATGTGAAAGTTTTCTCCAGTTTCATTTAAAATCTTACATCGCATCGTTGTTTCAGAAAATCCCACATTTCAAAAATCGGACTAACACTTAAACAACAATCCAAGATCATGTGGTTACGGAGGAGGCAACGCAATGCTGCCAACCGCATTTCACTAAATATCTCCATTGGACTGATTCAAAAAGTTCGGTTATTTTTTGAACAGACATCGTATTTAATTAATTGAAAATGAATAAAGGCAGTTACTATTATTGTTTATTTATGACTATTACCTTCAACAATTTTTTCAATTATTTACTAATGAAATAACAATGATGACAATATTAAAAATAATTTCAATTAAGTATATAATGATTCACGATGGTAATTAGTTTCTCAATTTTCTATATTTGTTATCAATGAATTGCCAAAGAGTTAGTTTATATTTTCTAGGTTATGTTAAGTGAAACTTGCGGTACTCTGAATCATTCTTGCACTACTCAAGATTTCTAATATCCTGAATTCTTATAACCATCTTATAGACAATGTTAATTATAATTTTATGTTTTTCTTAAACCAATCCACTTTAATAGAAAAATTTGGTAATGAATAAACCAGGTTAAGTGAAACATTAAGTAGAAAATTATATAATTAAAAGAAGGTAAAATAATGTTTAGAGTAAACTTTTTTTAATTAATTAACAACAACATAGGAATTACAATTCACTAGAATTCAAATGGCAAATAAATTACACAGCCACACACAAAAAAAAGTAGTCTGTACTTTTCATACGACATACGTTATCCGTAGTATTTTTGCCTCCTGATCACGAATCCGGTGTCAGAATTGAGCTATCACATCACAGGAATTTAATAACCTCAAAAAACAGGTAGAAAATAGCAAAAATTCACGAAAAAGTGCTAGGATTCACATTCAGCGGGGTCTTAACCATCTAAATGAACATTTGAATATAGAAAAAAATATTGTTTTTCTAGCACTTTTTTCGTGAATTTTTGCTATCTTTGACCTGTTTTTTGAGGTTAGGAAATTCCTCAATTCTAACATCGGATTCGTAATCGGGAGGTAAAAATACTGCGGATAACATGTCGTACCTATTATCACGTAGAGCCGTATGTGTATATTCATTTCTTGGATTATACGCCCCTACGTGATAAGATGATGTCACATGAAAAGTACAGACAACTTTTTTTTCTATGTGTGGCTGGTATTTCAGATAATAATAAACGAATAATACTAAAAATCGAAAAATATAGTCTTCCGAATTACATACAAAGATAAAAAAAGCAGGGCAGTCTGGACGTGCCCCAAGGAAAGGTATTTAGGCTGTTTGACATTTTTATTAATCGATTGACGTCTTTAATCGGAATTTGTTGACAGGTGGTAAAATACCAATAAATAAATAACAAAAACTGTCGCAAACTTCAGACAATATTTTTCTCGGGAAGTTGATGAATAAATGTTTCTAATGAGGAAAAAATAACAACTACCTAACTTCAATACTGTTCTCAAAATTTGCAGTGGTATAAAGCGCCGAGCAAAAATGAAGAACCTTTTAATGTTTAGGTACTGAATTTAAATTCTGCACACCTTTGTACCTAAACATTTTGTTGTCCCATTAAACGTTTACTAAGTATATTTTTATTTTTTTTTGTTGATATTAATATTAAAAAAAATTAAAACTACATATTATTAATCACGTATATTATAACTAAGGTTTCTTTACCTAAAATAATCCCAAGTAACACAGTTTGAAAAACTGGATCATATAGCGATCTAGATAATAAAAGATAACTAATCACATAAATGATATGTAAATAAAATTGAGTTCATAAATTTTTAATACCTGCTATAAAAACTATAACATATATTTTAACGTGGATAAATTAGATATTCTTAGATTAAGCAAAGATAATCAGGTGAGTTTATCAACATAATATTCAACAGGGTGCAATGAAAATTAATTTAATATTTTTCTTCTTCAATCTTTTAAGTCCATTAAACAATTTGTCGACTCACATACACTAGAGTCAACTTTATTATGAAAAAATATCTTACTAATGTTACTGTGCCATAGAAAATAAATACAAAATCTCTAAAGTTTACCGTCATTTTATCAACATTGTGGTTACCCAGTGCACTAATGTTTACTAACTATTTATAAACAAAAGGTAATTTTTACTTGTTTTGTCCGTTCCTGACGATATCGGGATGAAACATGTTACACCGTGTATGTTTGTCAAACAAACTTTACATAAAACTTGTGGTAATTAATTTGCATAATATGTAACTACTAATTGCTTGTAGTGTTAGGTTTCTGCTGTCGAGTTGTAAATGGTAAATACGATCATTAATTTTATTTATTAATTTTAAACGGCACTAATGCCGGTATTATAATAATATGTAAAATATTTAAAAAGTTGATCCATAAAAGGACAATCTAGAATCTAACAGTAATATCCCAGTCAAGGCTTTTATTTTACGTTCATGTTATATTTATGTACCTATGTTTAAATTATTAATAGAACATTTGATATTCTTAAACTGTGCCATAAAACACATACGCACTACTACATTCCACATTTAATGCATTCTGATTTTTACCACTCGAAATACTCATATTTTTGCAACGGTTGGTTAACTTGCAGTCAATGATATCCTGGTTAGATACGACGCAGTGTGTCATAATACTGTCAAAGTAATTACGTTCATATTTCGATATAATGCATATGCCCTATACCTAATATGAAAGTCAGGATTTACACCCACACAAATATTATTCACAAATAAATCATTTATATGCTTATAATATTAATATTTTATGGTTTAAATCGGACTAAGTAGAAGTTCTTTTCTATATGCCTTAAAAATCTTAGGTTTTCCCTTACATGTACTTTAATAAACATCGACAGCTTATAAAATTTGCTAAAATATAGAGATTCGCCATTCTCCTCCTATAAAATGACTCTGATCAGACCACCCCTACGCCCAGCAATCACAGTGTTACATTTGTTACACTTTGAAAGTTTGTATATTTTCCTAATATGTAGCGTTACACTACCTATTAAACATAATACTTGTTAGATTTCGTTTTTAACTATTGAGAAAGTTATGAATGTTTAGATGTTATTTTTTATTATTTTTAATTTGAAAGCTTTGGAAAATGGCATTTATTAAAAACTGTAACTACTATTAGAGATCTCTTCATTTTTAACCAAGGATAATTTTAAAAGTTCTGAAGAAAAAGGTTCATTTTTATGGAACAGTAACATTATTTCCTTAGCGATGGCAATTAAATTTTGGTTAAATTAAAAATTATTAGAACACATAAATCAAGATTACATTAAAACACATTGTAAACGAATCACTAATGTTGATAACGTTAAGATTTAGGGATTTTTAATTCACCGTACCAATCGTGCAATGTTAGTTGACTAAGCTCAGCGGTCACTTGGCTTGTACTGATTTATGAAAGTCCCGTAGATTCGCTTATGTAGTATCTAACTTTTCATCTAAATAAATCATCGAGCAAGTCTTGGTTTCTACATAGTTCATCCTGCATGTATGAAATTGTTGATAAAATGGATTGAAAATGGAAATTGACGTATCGAAAAGTCACAATAAAATTATGAATGTTATGTTACATTACAGACGCATTGTAAATTAATTAAACACCTACTTTATTTGAAGTAACTATCTGCATAAGTATAACAAAGTTAATATTTTACCAGTTATATACAGCGTGGTAAAAAAGTTCTGCATAAAATTCATATTTTCGTTAAACAATTATTTTTTCGAAAAACGGTGAGACCCGTCGATTTTTATTTGATCCAGGGCACCTTGTTATGTGGAATTTTTTTTTTGATAATCCACTTACGGCAGCGATGACATAATTTTTTTTTAAATGACAACGCATATTTTTTTCGTTCGAAATTGATGACAGTGATAATTATCTAAACAACGGTGTGAAAATTTCGATGTCTTACATAACAATTTTTTTTAGAAAAATGCACCTTAAGTTCTTATAAGTGATAATTGTCTACTTACACTATTAATGGCTCCGAAAAGGACAAAGTTGAC